GATTTTCTTTAGACTGGAGTAACCAAGATGGCCAGGGAGATTATAGAGAGGAAAGTATGAGTTTTGCCTTAAAATATGCAAGATTTCTATTGACTGAAAACTTTGTTTTCAAGTGGTATGGGAAGGCTGGGGACATAAGGAAAACAGTTGGTTTGCATCATTTGGTAAGACAATCTTGAATGTATTTAGGATCTCAAAAGGTAACTTTCTTTATTTGCAACAGTTGCTACAACATCTCTTCAAAGATACTACTGGTGCCACACGTTGGAGAGAAGGAGGTTCAGGCGTGTAATTTTATTTTCAGGAACACAACTGCAAAGCATCTCAAACAAAAGTTTCCATATATTTTTTTACTTCCTTAAAGGTAGAGACTGATACACAAGTTTTCAGAACACTGAAAAAATAATATCAATAAGAAGAAGAAGAAAAAAAGGATTATCCCAAATTATTTTCTTCACCTGTAACTGCAAGTTTAGAATATGTTTGAATGATATATTTAAAGCATTAAGTATAAATAAAAAGTGAAGTAGAAGATAATAACAACTTGGCTAAAAACACTTCTGAGCAATGATCTTAGATAAGGACAAACCATTTACATTGTAGTCCTTATATTGTGAATTATGCTCATTAACATATGCAGTGCATTATATTAATTAAACAAATTTGCTGGAAAATGTATATAGGTGTGATAGTCATTGCTTAACAAATAGGAGTTCAGACTGCCGACAGAAGAGGGCTACAATAGATAAAACAACTTTTTTAAGTCAAAATTGATTTCAGGAAAGATGGTAAAAGGTTCTACTCCAGCAGCGAACACAGAGGGTGGTGACACACTGGAACAGGTTGCCCAAGGAGGCTGTGGATGCCACATCCCTGGAGGCATTCAAGACCAGGCTGGATGTGGCTCTGGGCAGCCTGGTCTGCTGGTTGGCGACCCTGCACATAGCAGGAGGTTGAAACTAGATGAGTGTTGTGGTCCTTGTCAACCCAGGCCATTCTATGATTCTGTGATTCTATGATAAACTGATTATTTGATGTGAAAAGAGTATGTGTATATGTTGTTCAAGAAAGCAGGGAAAGTTCTACAGAGGAACTTCAGTGCTAGTTCAATAAATAACCACGAGCAAAACTGAAACATTTACAAAACGACAAAGAGGACTAAGTACAGGAAATGTTATCTGAGAGATCAAGAAAAGGAAGGACAAGATGAGAACTGCCAAAAGTCAAGCTGAGCTGGACTTCGAAAAAGATATGAAAAGCAAACAACCAAAAAGATTCTTCATCCCCATAAACAAAAGGCAATAAAGGACTGTCACTGTTATGTAGTTGGAATGGGAGAGAGATTGAAGATAATCTTGGCAAAAGATAAACTGGACTTCACAAATAAAAAAAATATCTTGCCTCAGTTTTTAACAAGGACAGTGGCTGATTGCTGGAGCAAAGACAGTTAGATAATAGCAGGAGTTTGAGAAGTTCAGAACAAAGACTAAGACACAGGAAAATTAATGCAGTCTGTCCAAGAGACTTCACCTTCTCCATCTCCATCCCATTTCTGAAGGGAACTAGCACAGCATGTAAACTTTGATGAATGGAGAACAAATTTCACCATAACCATTATAAAATTAGCTGGCTAACAACTGCAGGGGTGATTTTATAGCCCATCACCTTGAAATCTGAGGCTCTAGAACACAAACTGGTATCAACTACTTTTTAGGACAAAACCGACATTCTTATCCTGTTTATTTCATTCACTTTTTCAAAACAGAACTGATTGCTTCCTGTTTGCCAAATATTTGTTCTGAGACATTTAAGCTTTACTTGGAGGAACTTCAGCACTGGATTACTGCATTCAGATATGGACTCCTCAGTACAGGAGAGACATAGACCTGCTGGAGTGCATCCAGTGCAGGGCCACACAAATGATCCAAGGGATGGAACACCTCTCTATGAGAACAGGCTGAGAGAGCTGGGGCTGTTCAGCCTGGAGAATAGAAGGCTGCAAAGTGACCTGATAGCGGCTTTTCAGTATCTAAAGGGGAGCTACAGGAAAGAGGGGACAGGTTCCTTAGCAGGGTCTGTGGTGATAAAACAAGGGGAAATGGTATAAAGCCCAAAGAGGATAGATTTAGATTGGATATAATGAAAAAATCTTTTATAGTGAGGGTAGTGAAGCACTGGAACAGGCTATCATAGATGTGGTTGATGCCTTGTTCCCAGAGACTTTCAAGGCCAGGCTGGATCAGGTCCTGCAAAATCTGATCTAGCTGTGCATGTCCCTGTTCACTGCAGGACAGTTGCACTAGGTGGCCTTTAGAAGCCCCTTCCAATTATAAGGATTCTGTGATTCAGTGCTTCCAATTTTCATTAGCAGATAAACTGGGTGTCAGCAGTACATTCAGAAGTTCTATCAGTTAAATTTGAACTAATTGTAGGGGAAATCTCAATGTATACTCAGAATTGTTTCACCCGTGTTTCAGGCAATCCCAAATCTGCTCTGGATGCAGAACTCTGAACCAGGCAGGCTATTGAGCTGGGTTACACGTGTAACAAAAACGAGCTGATACAGTTACACTAGTTTTGTACTACACACAAATTCTTGGGCACCAGAGCAATGCACCTGACTAGTGGCAACAGCAGATTCTAAGGAACCAGATTCTAAATAATGTTTGGCCCTGTGTCTCATGGTCATAGCGTGACATCCACGCCTCCCTGGCTTCCAGAACCCTCCTTCCTCCAGAATCAAATATGTGGTTAATGTTATTAAACCACTTTTGAAACTGCTATAGTTAAATTAGTGCAGCTCCTTTGGACAGACATTTTTGAACCTGCTAGTCCTTCAGCTCCTTCTCCATCCTGTATCTCTGGGTAATCTCACTTGTAAACACAAATTCATCTACCATCTTTCCAATGATGACTCACAGAACATCTCTAATCCACAACAATCTCCTTCTGTCTTCCCTGAAACCTCAGCCTGTCCCTCACACAATGCTTGGTTCATGCCCAGTTGTCAGGCACAAGAAAGGGTTTTCACTGCTCATTTCTCTCTCCCACCTGTGTTCTCTGCTTCTTTCAGCAATGCAGCCTCTTGTGAAGAAAATCCTGTGGTGTTCAGCAATCATATAAATCTCTCTCTAAGTGTTTGCACCCATACTGTCTGGCTTCAGTCATTCTTTATCGCCCTGCTACTTTTCTGTCACATCAAAGTACTTGTCTTTATTTCCAAATTCTTTCGCTGTTTCATTTTCTTCAGTGTTGAGTTCATTTCCTTCCTCATATCAACTAACACTGAAGCAAGTACTTCTGCTGCTTCTTGGTTATTCCTTCACACAGAGAAGCTTCCTAGAAATAAGAAATAACTGTTTTTTTTTGTTTGTTTGTTTGTTTGTTTTTTGCTTTTGTTTTAACAGTGTCCTCTTATGCAGAGTCTTACAAAGATCCCCACGGATGGTTGGTGTGCCCTAACAGCAGAAACCAACAGCCACAGCTAGGGACTCCTCAGACTGATGCCTTGTAGCAGGCAAGAAATTGAAGCCTGGCTTGAACAGGTCACACAGTACTTGCTGAATGGAGCAGACAAAGCATGGTTGGCCGTGGGGAAATGCTGCAGATGATGTGCATGTGGTCTAAGGCATGGGGTGAACCCATACTCTAGTCAGGGGTTGGGACATCAGTGACTCCTTCCAAGACAAGAAAAAGACATGTGTGCTTGGAGCAGTGTCACACAGATTGCTTGTAACCAGGAGATCCCGACTGAAAACCAGGGACCAACATTAACAGAAGGTGAGATTTAGAATTAGTGTGTGTATAGAAATGAAGGTGGGAGAAACTGTATTAAGAACAAGCAGGGTCTGTGGCTGGTCAGAGCTCACAACCTCTCATCTGAGGTTTCCCTAAGCGTTAAAAACCCATAGAACTTACACATCTATGGAAAAAGTGGTCCTCCACTCCCTACCCGTCACTTCTCGTGCATGTCCAAGCCAGCACAAGCTTGCATGAAGCTGAGACACCAACAAGCTCGAGAAACCGATGCACGTTAAAAACGATCACGATTTAAAGCTATTAACTACGGTCAGAATTAAATCGCTATCATTAAAGCCGATGCAGCCTGCTGCGCAGCCATGCTCGTACCGGCTCAGCGGAGGAGGCAGCAAGACACAGCCGAGAGAAGACCACCTTTTCACGGCAGTGACTTCTTCGGGCCGGGTAGTTCCCGCCCGGCTGACTCACGCCGTTGAGTCACCCTGTGAGAGCCACCCTGTGGGGCCGCCCCCTGAGCCGAGCCTTGCCGTCCCGGCGCCTCTCGGCAGCGCCCATCCATCGGGCCTCTGCCCCCGCCGCCGGACGGAGTCCGCCGGGGCTCAACGGCTTTTTGCTCTACGGCTGCTCAACTGCAGGGCTTTCCTTGCGCTACGCAGCGTTATAAGGCAGGGCTTATCGTAACGGTGTTGAAAATACGTTTTAAAGGACTGCACAGCCGCACGGTTCGTTCCACAAGGTGCCCGGCACGGCTGCCCGTCCCCAGCGGGCCCCGTCGCACGCCCGGGCGCTGAGGTAACTCCTCGCTTCCTCTCACGGCGCGGGGAGCAGCAACAGCCGTCTCTTGGAGCGCCCCGAAGCTATGCGGGCGTCCCTTTGCAGCACTCCGCTGCTTCGGCTTCAGCTTCCCCGGGTCTCCCGGCTCCGATCGCCCCCCACCGCCCTCAGCCCGCTATCCCGTTTAGGGGCGGCGAGGGCCGGCCGGGCCCAGCCGCGGTACCGGGCGCTGCCTCAGCCCGAGCCCCAGCCCCGCGCTCCCGCTCCTCCAGGCTGAGCGGGCGGGCTGCAGTGGGTGGGGCAGCGAACCGGCATAGCCTTTGACGGGCGTCCCCTCCGCCCTATCAGAAGCGAGGGAAGGCGGACCTGAGAGGCGGCCGGCCAATGGCAAGCGCGCAGCCGCGCGGTGTGCCCCCGCGATCCTGCGAGCTATAAAGGCGGCGGAGTGCGCACAGCCCCTCGCTTACACAGTATGGCCGGCGACATTAGCTAGCGCTCGCTCACCGCTCTTCTCTGTAACAGGGGAACACGGACTACAAGGAACCGCACCGCCCGCCCGCCCGGACTGTAACCCTCTCACATACGCTCACGCCGCGCTCGCCGCCGCGCATTCAGGGTGGCTTAAAAAAAAATCTTTTTTTTTTCTTTTTTCTTTTTTTTTTTTTCTTAAATTAATATTGAAAAAAAAAAAAAAAAAAAGCCACAACAGCCCCAGAAGGTGAAGCCCGCCCGAGACGGAGCGGGAGCCGGGGGGCGGCGGTGGGGTCGCCGTTAATTTCTGTGGTTGTTGGTTGCCGAGTTGTCTCACCATGAAGGAGAACGGTGCACACTTCTTCGAAGGGACCGAGAAGCTGCTGGAGGTGTGGTTCGCCCGGCAGCAGCCCGCGCCGCAGGAGCCGCACCAGAGCAAGGGGTCCGGCGACCTCCGCACCATACCCAGGTCCGGGAGCGGCCGCGGGAGGGAGAGGGGAGAGCCGCCGTAACGGCCGCGGGAGGGAGGGAGGCGGGGAGGGATGGTGGGGAGGAGGGCAGCGGCCGGCGCGCACGCGGCCCGGGCGTGGTGGCGGCAGCGCCGCGGGTAATGGCCGTGTGCGGGCGGACGGCTGTTGGTTCCGGGCCGCCGGGAGCGGGAGCCGTTGGTGGCGGCGGCCGCGCGCGCGCCCTGAGGGCGGCGGGCCTCGCCGCTCCCCGTCCCTCTGACAGCGCGGGGCGCTGCCGGCGACGTGCGGCGGGCTGAGCGGAGGCGGGCCGGGGAAGGCCGCCCGCGGGGACGGGGCTCCGGCTGCCGTGAGGGAGGTGGGTCCCTCGCGGCCGGTCTCTCCGGCGGCCCCGTGGCGCGGTAGGCACGGAGGGAGGCGGGCGGGGGAGCGGGGGGGCTCCTCCCGCAGAAGTGTGGCCGGAGCTGCCGCTTACACGTGAGTTTCTTGGCGCTGCTCCCAGGCGCGCTGCCTCTCTCTCTCTTCTTTTTTTTTTTCTCCCCCATTGACAAGTTCAAGCCAATGAGAACTGGGCGCCGCGCAGGGGTGGGCCCCTGCCTGTCACCCAATGGGTATCTGAAGAATGTGCGCTTCTTTCACTGCCACCCAGCGAGGCAGGAAGAAAGGCCCGGGCCCGCACGGCTTCGGCTGCACACGTGCTCCTGAGTCGGCCTCGGGGTCAGGGGACGGCTTTCCTCCCGCTGCGGCTGAGCCGGGCCCTCGTTAATGCCGGGTCTGATGGTCACGGGGTGCCTTGTGGAAACCCCATCGGGTAGAGCGGGCGTCGGGTGGTTGTGCTGTAGCTCACCAGTACGGTACTTCATAAAGAGAGCTGCCTGGGTCGACTGGGATGCCAATCCCTGTAATAAGGGGTCCAACTGTAGAGCTGCTGAATATGGTACTATGGCACAAGCACCCTGGAAGTGTCAGAAAATGGCTGCAGCAAGCCTGAAATGAAAGCAAAATCTGCTTACTTGCCCTAGAATGGGCTCAGGACCACGTACAAGTTTGTAGGAAGCACAAGATTTGCATGCAGATGTGATGGATTCACGTGGTTAAAAATGCTGTTTTGTCTTTAGCATGCGAGGCAAATGCTAAGGCTCACTTCTGTTAGGCCATTGTAGGTCTGGTAAAACTGAATTCATGGGTTGGGATGACACTCAGAGAATCTGGTGTTTGTGGTATATCCAGATCTGCTTGCATGTATTGCTGTTAGCCAGTGGTCTTTCTTGAGGATGCTCAGATGAGATGTTGTGATATGTTTAATGTATGGGATATGGTAATGAAGGCAGCATCTACTGTAGAAGGTGCGTACTCAGCTTGTGCTGTTTGTCTTTTCCTTTGTTTCAGCATTTCTCAGCAGATTCCCTTTGTAAATGTATTAGTAGAATTAGCTATCTAAAGGTCTGAATAAAAGCTATCTGAAAGTGAGCAGATAACAGCCTCTCCTAAAATAATGGGCATCCTGCGTGTGTGCACATGTGTCTATGTCACTAGCTCCCAGCTACCAGAAGCTTCGTTTCTGCTATGACAGAAGCAGTGCAGCATAGATGTTTGCCTCTGGCCTGGTGCTCTGAGGCAGTTTATTCATGTAACTCTAACATATAAAGCTGTTGAGACCTTTTTTGAATAATGTGCTTAGCATGGAAATGATGAGATGTGATTATATGTTTGTTACTACTTAAGAGGTATAGCAAATATAAAGTTTGAACTTGCGTAGCCAATGTTCAGGCAACCCTGGAAGAGCAAATTCTAGCTGAAATTATTACAGGTGATCTTAAGTGTTATGTAGGCACTTCAGGGTTTCTGCTGTATTTAACTTATTTTAAATATGAAAACTTCCAAAAATTTGATTTTTGCGTTCATATGCTGGTATTGGAATTTACAGAACTTCTGGTTTAGAGGTGGTATTCTGCAAATTCTTTCTTCATTGACACATTCATGCTCTGTTTCATTTGTGATGTGAAGCTCCCATCTACAAACCAGCAAACCTGGTTTTTAAGGCTGCTTAATACAACTTAATGGAATGGAAGGCAAGTACTTGGGCAGCTCCTTCACAGTGCTTAGATATGGCCATAAAATTTTAATAGGGTAAATACAAACTGTTAACTATGAAACATGTGGCTTTTAACACAATTTGAGAACGGGGAGGGAGCTTTGAAGGCATTTGTGTTAATTGCATCTTAATGCAGGATGCTGATAGAAGCTGTCTACCTTTTTTGGTAGGAAGGTGTGACATCTGAGATGTGCTGTTAACCTGCATTTAGGGATAACAATCAGTGATACTGTGTTGCTAGCATGAAACAAAGTTTTATTAACAATCTTTTTGAGAGTTGTTGGCCCTAAATTACTTTCACTACAGCTGATAGAGGCAAATGAGAAAATTCTGAATGCGGTGTACCCTGCTATGTTAATTCCATAAAGGCAATTGAATAAGCTCGTTTGAACAGTTTGAAATCAAAGCTGAAACTGTAGAACAATAGCTAAATTAGAGTCAAGTTGCAAACCAGTTGAGCTTGCCTTTTGTATTGTACCTGCTTAGTAGTGAAATGTCAGCTATTCATCCACAGAATGACTAAGCTGGTGTTCAAAGCCAAGAATTTCCATGTTGTGTGCCCTTGCTAGGGATCAGATAGTTTGAAGTCTTTGGATATTACCAGCTGCGAAGGCAAAGGTTCAAGAACTGGTTAATGAAGAAGTTATGACATCTTTTTCTCCTTTGGGCAAGGCTGCTTTTTAGAGAATAATATGTATAGATATGAAATGTATTGTTCTAATACCTTCAGTTAGAGTCCCAGCTGAAAACTAGAAGAAAATGGATTAATATGGGCTTTAATTTGCGGAGGTGTGGGGGCTTTTTCTTTGTCTGCTGATGAGTTCTGCAAAAAGGTCCTGTCATTGAATTAATGACAAGCAGCTGGAGATGCCTGCCACACTCATACTGAGAAATGGAGTTAACGTTTTTGTGGCTTTGGTCATTTGCGTTACCTTGGTTCTCACTGTGCTATGCAAAGCACGTTTGTTAAAAACAGTCTTCAAGTATAAAAATGACATTCTTCTGGAAACATAATGACCATGCTGTGAGTGGAATTCTGTGATGACCGAGTAGCGTTTTCACTGTCCCCACAGCAAAGAAAGCAGCTTATGCCTTCAGATGAGAGTGCAGCTAAGCCTTTGGGCTTCCTGTCTCGAATGCACACAAGTTTGAAGCCATAGGCTAAGGATTCTAGTATTTAGGAGTCCACATCTCAAGCATTCAAAATTGAGATACTTACAAACCTTTAATTTAGTTATTTGTATGTACTTGGACACAAGATAAGGAACTGGAGAAAGAACAGTGCAGTAATGAGCAATATGGGGTGATACCGATTACAGTGAAATTCTCAGTCTATGCCAGATGAGAACTGCTAAGCTACAGTGAAGGCAAGCATCTGATGGAAGTCCTGTAAGTACTTGCTTTGTACTACACCCTCTAGCCTGAGTCAACTCCCACAGTCCTGCAAAGCTTGGTAGTGTTATTGCATGTTCCTTCAAACAGCAAAGGTGCAGGAGGGCTGGGCTGCGAGCCTTCTGTGCTCTTACTCCTGGGAGGCTCTGACAGAAGTGTAGCACTACTGCCTGTGGCATGTGATGTGTGCAGTGGCAGGGGAGGCAGGGTTGTACAGGGAGGCAGGATCCTGTCTCTGCTCTATAAGCTTATTTCACATGGACATAAAAGATAATCTGCAGAACTTTACCTAAGAATTCAGTCTTCCTCTATTGCAGACAAGTTCAAAATGGCAGATAAAACATTTGCTTATAACACTCAGTTAAAGAATAGCTTCACACAAAGGAAACAAGCCAAGCCCTTTTATGCTCACTGCTACTGACCATGATTATGCTTGCAGAAAACTAAGACTTCCATTGGAGGCCGTTTGATATTTTCCTGCCTTACTGCTGAAGCTTCAGCATTTGGTTAGTTACTTCCTGTCATAAGCACTTCATAAACCTCTTTAAACTTGTGGCTACTGGTGTGTTCTTAAAATGACTTTCCTAATGACTGTTTATTCAGCCAGGAGAGCAGGAAGGCTTGATGCCTGTGGCAGACAGTTGCTGCCTTACAGTGTGTTCCTTCTGGAGAAGGTTAGACTCAAACTTGCCTTAAATGTTGCATGCAAGACTTCTGCTGAAATCCTAATGTGCTGGTTGGGGATTATGCTTCCTGAAACATCTTGAGTGACAGGTATGTGATCTCCTTTGTCTCCTTAACAGACAAATGCCCCTCAAATATCTCTGGAGGTGATGTACAGAAGTCAGCGTTCCTTGTATACTGCTGTAGCAACAGTAATAAAGGATCTGTGACAGTAGCAATACACAGCCTTCAAATCTGTGGTCTCTTTTGTGCCCTGGCTGAAATATCCTGGAGTCCTTGGGGAATTATTATCTTTACTAGTTGGCTCAGGATCTTCTAGCTAAAAGTGTGTGGTGGAGTTGCTTGTGATGTGGATATGACTTTCTATTCAAGTGCTTGCCTTTCACTCAAGACTACGTGCATGTCCTTGGAAAAGTTTTAGGCTTAAGATAAGGGAAATGTAGAGTTCTTGTGTATCTATTTTCAAAGCCATGTGGAGGGTGTGTGGGTCTTGTGTGCCCCACAGATACTGCAGAAGTAAAATTATCATGTTGGAAGTGCCTTGAGTATATATGATCTAAGGAAGTCTATATTCAGCAGCAATCTATAAGCTAAATTATAATTTTAATAGGAAATAATTAACATGCATTTGTCATTCTGCTCAGAAAAAACACATGAGCTGCTAGAGATGCTTTAAGAAGCTTGTGATTTGAGTAGTTGGCAGCTACTACTTCTACCTGTTTCAAAATAATTTTAAGTGGTGTTGCAGCTCTGATACTGGCATTCAGTCAGCTTCTATGATAACTGTGCATGGGTGGCTTGGACTGAGCATTACACTTACCCATGGTCTGGATCAGAGTACTGACAGGATACTGCCTGCTAAACTGTGGTCTGTTAATGAGGTAAATATTTAGGAGGTAACAGGTGGAGGGATTGGAAGGTATTATTCCATAGCTCAATACTTGATTTTAAACAAGATCTCAACAGTCAAGTACAAGGTAAAATTGGTTATTACTTTGATTGCTACACATTTGTCAGTTGTCTTATTTTTAATGAATAGCTATGCAAGAGTGTACATATATATATATATATATATATATATATACATATACACACACACACATATATATATACACACACAGCTGAAGCTGTCTTTAGAAGTTTTGTTTTCCCAAAGAATTCCTGCCCTACTACAGAACAACTTTCACACAGTGCTATTTGGGCTCCATGAGAAAGATGCTGAAAGAGCTGGGAAGGGTGTATGTTTGTGGAGGCTGCTGACTGTTTACAGGAACAAGTTGATTTAGGAGATCTAGAGCTCCATGAACACTATCACTCCCTTCCTGGTTGGCCTGAAACAGTCTGCTGATAGTGTAGGATGTAGGAGTAGATTGCTAAAATATATTTTCTATATTTTCTGATCATCAAGTAAAGAACAAGCAGCTTTCTAACATTTAAGCATGGACAGTTGTTTACACTTGAGTACATGTATTCATTTCATTTTATATTCTCTGGGCACATGCAGCCATTTAAGATGTACGTTGCGTGCCTATTGGAGAAGCTTCTGACCTTCAGTGGGTGTCTGCTGTTTGATAATTAAGAAACAGGATTTTATCACTTTGGAATAGGTAATACTAACTTTACTTAATGAGTTGTTGATCTGAGATGATTTTGTGACTTTAGAGTTCCAGTGGATGCAAGCCTGCTACAGAAATCACTTGGCTACCAATGATACTCAAGTCTTGTCTTCTAATGTGCTTAGCTTCCTCATGGAGAAATCGGCTCCAAAGTGTCTGGTGTTGCCCTGATGGCTGTTTATGAGAAATACAGGAAATGGTAACGCAATCCTCATTTCCCCTTGAAAGGAGAATTTGGAGAAGCAGAAGCCCATGATGGCATTTCATTGAAAATTAATCTCTTGGGCTCTTTTTCAGTTGGAGGCTTTGCTTCACAGTTTGGTTTAATATGAAACAGGATGTGATGTTCAAGTCTTTCACAGTTATTAACTTCAAGGTTTTTTGTTTGACAAAATACAATCACATTAAGTGTAATACATGCACTGATAATATTGAAAGGCTATCTCTTAATTTTTGCTCCCATGGTAAGTGTATGGGGAAACACTGTCTCTTAGCTGAAACTCTTGAATAATTCTGCAGATTAAAGGAAGAGTTAAACTTAGTAAACCTTGACTGCAGAACAAAGCAATCACAAATGTTTTCTAGCTCAGCTTAAAACAATGAAAACTGTCAAATAAAAAGGTCATCTTGTTTAATTATATAGGGATCAAATCCAGCATTTGGAGGTGAGGTGAGGTGTGGTGGCCTTTCTGTAATTGCTTCCTGTGCTCTGCTTTAAAATGCATATAGATAAGGTGAGTATCTCCATAAAACTTCATGATGTGGCCAAGTCTCATCCTGGCTGCTGCAACCCTTTGTTTTATGTATATTTCTGGATCAAGATCGACATCTTGTGTATTGCTCAGTTTGTTGGCTTTTTCTTTCTCACTGCTACCTTAATCAGAATAACTAAAAAAACTCTCCATTAGTTCCTGTAAAAGCTGAATGCACAAACACAGCATATGGTTAGCTGTGGTTTCTGTAGTTGGAGTACTGAAGAGTAGAGCAAAGCTTTAATAGATTTTAAGTAATATGTTGTGCCACTGCAGTTTACACTGCAGTACCAAAATGCCAGCTATAGTAATAATGAACTTAATAGGGACTTCCTTTGCATGGTTTGCTTTGGATTTAACAAGCAGCACTGTATTGGTGCTATATTGATCCCTTGCTGTTGTGCTCTTGAACCTTAGAATTGTTGCATCTTCCTCCACTAATATGACTTAAGGAGTTATTTTCCTGAAATGGCCATTGCTGCAGTACAGTAATAGAAAATTCTTGGTTACATGCACAGTGCTGAGATTTTAACCAGCTAAGAAGCCAGAGATCTATGCTTTGGCCGTGTCTGAGATAGTTACAGGTCCATTAATGCTCAGACAAGTAAAAATTTTATCTGTGGTAGTGTACAAGTAGAATTACTGCAGCATCAGGCAGTGTAAGATATCTATGCCTCAGCTGTCACAAATGCTGTGTTAGACCTCTGAGTATTGTTTCATCAGGGGCAGATAGGACATAAACATGAGTGCTGCTGAGATGATTTGGAGTTATTCTGCAATAGCAAATACAATTAACACATCACTTAGTTCAGTTTACAAGAAGAGTATAGTAAAATGTTACAGGAAAGACAGTAAAGCTGGCAAATGTATGTGGGTATGCTGTAGCTTCAAGGTGACTAAATCCTGAAGTCCTCTTCTCACCAAAATAGCCTGGTTGTCCAGCACCATATTAAAAAAGTTTGACATCAACAGTTTCACTCTTTGCATTTGCCAGGTTGCTCAGAGATGAGAAGAGACTGGTTGTATTTTCATATGAACTTGAGTATCAGGAACACAGCCCATAGTATGGCATAGTTTGTGTCAGTGCATTCAAAATGAGCTTATCAACTGGATCTGTAGATTTGAGCAGTCTGTGCTGCCATATCTCCAGTTGCTGAACAGAATTTCATCAAGGTTCACTAACTGGAATGGAAGGGAAAAATTCCCTTTGAATATCTGGATCATTAAAAATTGGATTTCATAAAGTTGATCAGATGTGCACCTAATCATGAGAGATTTCAAGATGGAGAGGATTCTTTTAAAGTCACTTCTCATAGCTTCACTCTTTCCTAAAAGAAGGATACAGTCTGTAAGCTAAGCATGTTCTGGATGACTTACACTGGTTTAGTGCAATGCAGACTTTAAAAGGGGAAAAAAATCCTCGATTAGCAGAAGTGCAGAATTCAGATCAGGAGGCATCCTCAAGTGAGGGGAAAAACGAGGCATTTATGTACCAGGGTGCTTAGGAAGCAAAGAGCATCTGGACTACAGCTGGGAGATAGGAGAACCTAAAACTTCAGCTTTGCATTGAAGTTTCACTCCAGCAAATTGACTTTTTTTTTTTTTCCCTTAAGGGGAAAGATTTGGAGCTGCTGGAACAACCCTGCTGCTAGAATTAACAGCGAGTGCTTTGTCCTGAAGTACAGCTATCAAGCTTTTGCAGTGCCAAAGGGAAAGAAGGTCTGACCCCTGAGGATTAGGCTGACAGTTACAGGGACAGCTGAGCTCATCTGGGAGCTTGTGTGGTGATTGGAAGAAAAGTGTTTCCCTCAGTCCCCCAGCTGTGAAGAGTTGTCTACCCCTTACCAGCTGGTTAAAGGGTTTTAGTTCTCATAGTTGCTTCAGCTCTATGACCTGGTGGGTAACTTACTTATATGCTGGGTTAGTAGATTCCTTGGCTCATAACAGGTCCAAGCAGGAGCCAGCACAAACCTACAGTTGGAATATGCTGTAGGAAGGGAGAAATGGGAAGCTGTGACAGTCTTGTAATTTTGTGACCTTGTGAAGTTGTATCTGTCCCATAGCAAATTTTACTGCTGTATTGGATTCTACTAATAGATACAAGACTGAAGTGACAATAGTTGAGGGTGGGTTTTTTTGTTTGTTTGTTTGTTTTTTGCAAGTCTGTAGCTTCTTGTGAGTGCTTGGAAGTTTTTTTTGGTTTTTTTTTTTTTTCTTCATTTGTGCCTTTTGAATTTTCAGTTTGCTGGTAGAATTTCTCTCAGAATGAATAATGACAGTCAAGAATTGAAATAATATATATCATCATGGTGAAATCTAGCAGATGTTGAATCAACATCTTCTGGAAGTAGAAGGAATTCTATTATCCATATTGATCAAAGAGGAATTCAGGCCATTAAGATGTATTATTTCTTAGGGCTGATTTTCATTAAAATTATGAACTTGATTCCAAGTTGAACAGATGTAACCTCTTAATGATAATGTACTGTTGTGTTGCTCTGATGGCTACCAGTGGCTCCTGGAATTGAAAGTATGTGAAGATTAAACTTAAAGCATACATTGTTATAACATTGAGTTTTCTCCTTTTCCTATGTGGAGGATGTAATGTTTAACTTGCTGTAGCAGAAATGCTAAGCCATGGCCTGAAACAGTGATTGAGCACCTGGTGGAAGGCAGAGCCAACCCAAAGGAGCTCAGCTGTATGCAGTGCACCTGAGTGACCAGAAGGGGTGAAGACAGGATCCACCCCCTTGCAGACATCATTTAAGGGTTGACAATGGAGGTTAAAGTATCTTGCTGGAGATCCCTGTTTACCTGAGGCCTTCCAAAGATAAGCAGCTCTTTTCCTTCATTTCTGAACCCTTGGCTGCTGCATTTGGGCTTGTTCACGTTCACTGTAGCCAAAGACTTTGCCACTGTGCTATTATCATCCCGTTATAGCATTACACCTGCCTTGTTAGAGTCTTGGCACTGTTGTTTGATAGTTGCACCCATGCAGCAGATTATTTTAATGGTTCCTGTGGAAAACTCAAATTTTGCCATTGAGAGCTAAGAATTGAATAGCATTTCTGTTGGGTTCATGGTTCCTACATGAAGAATTGTTGCATCTGCGAGCATGAAAGGAGACAATAACAGTTACAATCCTTTTTGTGATACATTTTTATCCGGTGTTCCCGAAAGCTTTGGTTTAACCTGTTTTGACTCTGTTGTAATTTCTTTACAGGATTGAGTGGGACAAACTTCTGGAGAATGTGCATTGTTTGATCATAAGTGTGACAAAAACTGACAAGCAGGAAGCTTATGTACTCAGGTAAGCCCATTATAACTGCTTCTTAAAGAGCCCAATAGCTAAAAATGTTAAAGCTGTTGTATGGGAAATGCTGTTTGGCTGATAATCCAATCTTGGGTTAAGATCCTGTCATTAACAGCTACAGTTTGCAAGGGCATGCTAACTGTAGTACTATCATGCTTCTGTTCAGTAACAGGAATGTTTTCATGATTGTTAATTGTGATTAGTTTTTACTTGCTGTGGCATTTCTGCACCTGATCATTGAATTTTTGTCCTGGGATAAAGAAGTCTCCTCCAATTAAAAATCTACTTAAATTTTAGGAACGCTTCAGCAAAACAGTGCGTGTAAGTGTTAGTTTTAGGTCAACAAAAACTATCAATAAATTGGCTTTAAAGACATTACCATAAAGAATACTTGTAAAAATGTATCTTTCTGAAATCTTGGGATTTTGACCTTGCACAGCAGTTGGCCTTTTGCCATGTTTTTCATCTTGAAAATACTTTCATGCTTTTTTTTCTGTATGAACTTGTCAGACACAGTGACATTCTCTGCTTTACTTCAGATTACAAAATCTGAAGCTTTTGTACTCTGAAAGCCTGCCTGGAAAGGAAGGCTGGGTTAAGAGCAAAGTGTCGAAAACTGCTGAAGTCTTCTTTCTGCAACCTCTGTATTAAAAAAAATAATAATAATAATTCTGAAGTAACTCCTATATCCTAGGTAAAATATAACCTTATCTTTGTATTCTTAACCAGGAATCTAAGTTGAGTTAAAACTATTTAAGCCAGATTTATCCTCTATTTGCTGAGAAAGTATTTGCTATACACTTTAAGTGGATGTAGCATCAATGATAATCTTCAGTTCGGTGGGCTTGTAGTTCTGTATCTGACTTCAAGAAGTCAATGGTATGTAAACTTTATCTTCTGCGTAAGGCATATTACAGGACTGTGCTTATAACCTGTGATTTCTGTGGGCAGGTGCTGATTAATCACTTGCTAGTAGTCAGATGTCTTAAAAGATGCAGGCAGACATAGTATTAATTTCTGTAAGGATTTTGCTTCTCTCTGGGCTGACTTTCTTGATAGCTTTATTTTAGCCGAGGTCAGATTTTTGAATTTTGACTCCATTCTGCATCTGGAATCACAGAATCACAGAATGGCCAGGGTTGGAAGGGACCTCAAGGATGATGAATCTCCAACCCCCCTGCCACATGCAGGGCCACCAACCTCCCCATTTAATGCTAGACCAGGCTGCCCTGGGCCCCATCCTGGCCTTGAACACCTCCAGGGACGGGGCATCCAAACCTCTCTGGGCAGCCTGTGCCAGCACCTAACCGTTCTCACTGTAAAAAAAAACTTCCCCCCTAGCATCCAACCTAAATCTCCCCTCCCTCAACTTCAAACCATTTCCCCTTGTCCTGCAGTTATCAACCCTTTCAAAGAGTTGATTCCCCTCCTGTTTGTAGGCTCCCTTTAGGTACTGTAAGGCTGCAGTGAGGTCACCCCGCAGCCTTTGCTCCAGGCTGAACAAGCCCAGCTCCCTCAGCCTGTCTTTGTAGGGGAGGTGCTCCAGTCCCCTGATCATCTTCATGGCTCATTTGTTGTGTACCTGATTCTCGGCACCCATGTTTCTTGAATAGACTGAGGACAAGTAATGCATGTAGGTCTTTTCCTGCAGGGCAGTAGCTGTATAATATCATGCAGCTAGAGCAAGTAATGGCTTTAGGAAATTGTAAGAGCTCTCATGTGTTTGCTAAACTTTACTGATTTAATCAATTTGCCAAGCATGTTAATGTCCTGTATACTGAATGTTCATTTGCAGTAATGCATGTGGTTGGGATAGGAACCAAGACCTAACCTTTGTCTCCTGCGTTGTGCGAAGTGTTTAATGTCTTTCTCTCATTGCTTTCACAGTGAGAGTAGCATGTTTGTCTCCAAGAGACGTTTCATTTTGAAGACGTGTGGTACCACCCTCTTACTGCAAGCACTGGTTCCCCTGTTGGAGCTTGCTAGGGAGTACAGTGGGTTTGACTCAATTCAGGTAAAGTGCTAAAAATGCATCTCCCTTAAAACAGACAGCAAGCCTTTTATTACCATTTCAAATCTGTTTTCCTTATTTCAAGTATTAGTTGTTTGCTTCCTAGAATAGGTTATATGACTGTTTGCTCTGCTATGGAATTTAGCCTTCTATTTGCCTTTTAAAGATCTCTTACTTATAAATGCTACTGTGCTGAGTTAAGGTTACTTAGAGGTGAAGAACTTCCATGCCTCTATAGTCAGTGCTGAAATAATTGGATTTTTTTTCTGGAAAACCAATTCAGAAGTCAGCTCTCTCCTGTAGCTTACTAATCATGCTAGGAATAAACAAATATCTAGCAGCATTTTTGATGTGGAGAAGTCATGTCCTGTGAAAGCTTATATTAAATTCTCTAAATTGCTTCTAGGTTTTAAGTTGTAGGCAGATATTTGATATTTAACATTTACTTTTATTTTTTTCAGAGCTTCTTTTATTCACGTAAGAATTTCATGAAGCCTTCCCACCAGGAGTACCCACATAGGAATTTCCAGGAAGAAGTGGAGTTTCTTAATGAAATTTTCCCAAGTAAGCATATGAAACTACAGTGAGGTTGCACAGCTTGTGTAAAGCATTGATATGAAGTGAGAAGCAACAAGTGGCGTGATAATACATAGACTTTTGAGGCCATTCATTTAGCAGATCTTGCAGTTCTGCAGCTGGCACAAGCTTCAATAGCATGCAGATGAAAAAGCTATAAAGAATTTCCTGATGCTCACTAAAATCAAATTTAAAATCTCCTAAGCTTGACGCGTAACACCTTCTCTTAACTTAATGATATTCAGGGATTGAGTAAATAAGTCTGCAAAATTCAGCTCTCAGACTCCAAAAGCCTCACTGCAAAGATGGAGTAGTAATGTAACAACCAATACAGTGAAGAAAAATGTAAGCTGTTCTGAATAGTCACTGTACTGCATTAAAGATTTAATTTGAGCATTTTATTAAATGGAATCTAAAGCCTGGAACTTTGATTTTTAAATACTGGCAGAAAAGGTTTTTTTGAGACAATGTGGAAGCTGTAGTACTGAGTGTTTAGCAAATAGGAGCAAATCTGGCATATCTGCATGTGCACAGTCAAAGCTACAAGCAGGCTCCATATTGGGGTGCTCAGACCACCTGAAGGAGCCTGTTCTTCCAGCTATTGGCCTAATGCTTCTGAAGTTAAATGCCTACTTATTTGATACAGATGTTAGCTGTGTCAGTTGGTGTGTTGTGAGAGACACTATCCTTAAATGTGAAGTGAGGCCAGTATTATGTAAGCTGTCTGCTGTGGTATGTTAACTGGAGCCTTTTTGTCTTGACTAGATGGAGCAGCTTATTGCATGGGACGTATGAATTCTGATTGCTGGTATGTATTACAAGAACTTGAATATCTTTGGGGCTGACAGCTGAACTTGGTGCTGATCATACTGATTACAGAAGTGATTTGTATCATACACAGGTACCTGTACACCCTGGATTTCCCAGAGAGTCGGATATCCAATCAGCCTGATCAGACACTGGAAATTCTGATGAGTGAGCTTGACCCAGTAGTGATGGACCAGTTCTACATGAAAGATGGTGTTACTGCAAATGATGTCACTCGTGTATGTGTGCTTGAAAACTAAATGCTTTAGGAGTGGTTGAAATTAGGCAATGCTTTCCTTGTATTTATAAGCTTTATTTTATTGTTGAGAAAAGTCTTAAAAAATCAGATTAATGTTTTGGAGCTTTGGTGTTTTGGTCAAATGGGTTTAGCTCTGTAACTTCTGTCCTCGTTTTAATCTATGGAAAAGAGCAATCTGCAGTGCTTTGGGTGACTGGAAGTTTCCTCCCCTGGAGGATGGAGAAATAGGTATAGAAATGCAGTTGAGTAGAATGGAGGTGACAAGAAGTAAGACTTAAGCTGAAAATAATTAATAGTATAGGTATCTAGCTATTAAAATTACAGATAAATCACAAAGCCCTTTGGTGGTTCAGAATATAGCAGTGAGGGAGAGGTTAAGGGCCAAGCATAACCTTGATGGTTTTGCCACCTTTCCTTGATTTTTTTTTTTTTTTTTCTTCTCCAAATGAATAACTCCTGTGATGTGAACAAGTTTCACTGATAAAATACACTGACTTTATCTGGTTTTCTGCTCTTAAGTTTTGATTCTCATTACTGTATTTGCTGTAGAAATTGTTCTGTGCTTCAAGTACTTTGAGGGGAATCCCTTGGATTCTGCTTTATTCATGCAGTAGAAGGAAGTACATTCACACTCCAGAGTGAATGTATCCACAAACTGAAGGCTGTTTACTGGTTGACTAGGTGCTCCGTTTTGCATAAGTTGCAGATGCACTTATGTGCTGTAATTCAAAGTTGCTCCCTCTTGCTGCTATGCAGTTTGGTTCTGTAAGTTCAAAGTATGCAATAACTTGTATGCAGCTCAGCACTCGCCAGATAAATGAGAAGATGAAAAGCAAGTTTCTCTACAGTGGTACAGAATATCAAACTGATCTGTTACTGGAAGAATTCTGGTGTCCTGTTCCTAAATTAATATTTGTTCTGAGTTAAATGAACAAACTTACAGAGATGTGTGATTTCAACTTCTCTTTCAGATGAGTGGAATTCGTGACCTGATACCAGGTTCTGTTATTGATGCTACAATGTTCAATCCTTGTGGGTATTCAATGAATGGGATGAAATCGGATGTAAGTTTCTCACTTGCTTACCTTAATACAATTTTTCAGTTTTACTTATTTTGTGATAATAACCTTTTCTTTTTTTCTTCAGGGAACTTACTGGACTATTCACATCACTCCAGAACCAGAATTCTCTTATGTTAGTTTTGAAACAAACATAAGTCAAACTTCTTATGATGACCTGATTAGAAAAGTTGTAGAGGTTTTCAAGCCAGGAAAATTTGTAACAACCCTCTTTGTTAATCAGGTGAGTCCCCATGCAATAGCTCGTTAGCTCCTGAAATGCAGATAGACACAAAACACAGTGCTGGAGATGTTTTTACTGGGGCACTAGTGTTTTCTAGTCTGCCTCTACATTTGTATGGTAGTTTACTTAGAAAGTTGAAGTAATCTTCAGTACTGCTTTGGCATGCACTAAATTTGATCTCCAGGAAACTTGTATTTTAAGACAAGGCAGTTCAAATTGAGCATTCTGGTGACTTCATGTGGAGATCTGTATAGGCATAACTTGCATTTTTCTGAATTTGGCTACAGCTGTCAGTTGTAAAAGTGCTGATGGTGATGCTGCCAGCAAATGACTCATGAATGAGCAGTACCCTACATAAGGAGAATCGTTGCTTGGGACTAAAACTTTGAGCAGCCATCATACAAGAGTTTAAAGCATGTTAGATGTCAGAATTACTAGATCATATTGTGCCAGTCCATCTCTTAATGCTAAGTGTAAAAAGTGAACTTCTCTTCTTGTTTTCTAGAGCTCTAAATGTCGCACAGTGTTTTCTTCCGCGCAGAAGATTGAAGGGTTTAAACGTCTTGATCACCAGATTGCTCAATTCAGTGATTACAATTTTGTTTTTACCAGTTTTACGAAGAATCGCCAGCAACAGCACAGTTGATTAAGAATGAAGAAAAAGCGCAAAAAGAGATCCCATAGAGAAGGTGGTGGTTGCTTTCTAGTTACTGATTCAGGGGGCCATGCTTTCCACTGCCACCACCTTGTAGCTGTGGAAAGCCCTAGGTGTAATCATAGTATAACCATTTTGAATTGTATGCATTATTATATCAAGGAGTTAGATATCTTGCATGAATGCTCTCTTCTGTGTTTAGGTACTCTATGCCACTCTTGCTGTGAAATTGAAGTGCATGTAGAAAAATCTTACTGTATGAAACATAACAACACTTGTAAAAATGATTCAGATAGAATTACACACAGTATAGTTTTTCTCCAGGTATCGCCAAAAATTTCCCACAGACAAGGCTTTCGTCCTCATTAGGCTTCAGCCTCAACCTACTCACTGGGACAGTTCTTTGTTAAATTGTCACTGATTTTTTTCATCTATGTTGTGACTTCAGTCTAAAATGATTTTTGACAAGCTTGTACGATTTCTAATGAAACTGATTCCTAAGTAACACTTTTGTGTTTGAAGAAAGTTCTTAAAAACAGTTACAAATTGTTTTGCTACTTACTAAGGTGGTGGTTGTCTTATTTTTACATCAGACTGACTTTTCATGCTCTAAATTTATAGGAATCTGTTCAGCTATACTGTAGCACTGGGCTGCTGCACTGGTCTTTCACCTCTAGACATCTGGGTACAGGTACTAATGCAGGTTGAACTTTTTCTTAGCTTAATGCTGGTATTTATCTGTCCACATCCCTAAGCTGTCACACTGCTACACAGTGGCAGAGTTTGCAAAAGGTCAGACTTGATGGGGGAGAGCTGAGTCGGGATCCAAGTGCTTTGGCATAGTTGTGTGACAGCTTTGCAAAGAGCAAGATCATATTGGCACCAGACATCTTCTTTCCTAATCACCAGTTATGACTAAGAAGCTGGTGCTCTCAAGCACTGGCAGGAAGACCTAGCAAAGGAGTGGGATTTGCCAGGCTGATGTGTTGATTGGTTTGGGTTATTCTCAGTAAAGCTTCCGAGTTACCACTTGTAACTGTAAAGAGTGCTTCTACGCTAGTCCAGTGTCACTTCATTTTGTTGTTCCAAAAGCAAAGCTAATGCTTCTATCTTGTGACAGTCCTGTGACATTGTTGTGCACGTGACTTATGTTGTATTTGAGTGTTGTGATCTCATCTGTTTTTTCCTCCTAATTTCTATGGTGGTTCCTCTTACTGTGACTTGAGGGCATTCAGTGAAGGCATAGAACAAGAACTGTCTGGCTCACCTGGACAGAAGTGAAGTAGAATGCTATTCATAGAACATGAATAAGTGTAATTCAAAGTCACATTAATGGGAATTGACTAAACTGCAGACTTTAAAAAGCTGGGAGACTTTCAGTTATGTTTGCAAATACTAGGATCTTAACAGCTGTGAGACCAGCACATTAATTAAGAAATTGGGTTTTTCTTTCTTCTTATCCTTGCAATGTTTTGACTTTCTGGTTTGATGCAATGGTTTGGTTTTTTTTTTTTTTTTTTTTTTTTTTTTTTTTTTTTGGTTCTTTATTTATTAATAAAGGAGCATTTTTTTTTTTTTTTTTTTTATTTTTAGTGCTTCTAAACTGAGGTCTGCTTGGTTAGAAATCAAGTGGTTGGAACACTCTGAATTTTTAAGTGTGTTGTTGATGTTCTTTACCGGTGTTATCAAGTACATGCTGTAAATGGCACTAATGCTTCTTGGTGTTAATACTGAGGACCAATATTGCAATGGTTTTTGTTAATTGTTGTCCCAACTGATCTGACATCTGGCTTGAGGTCCTTCAAGTAGACTGAAGATCCCTTTTCAAGTAATACTGAAATACACATTTTATACATAGAAGCATAAGCCTCGGCTATAAAAATGAAAGCTGTTGAATGGATTATTGAACTATCTGGGGTGATCAGGATGGGGAGGAGTATGGTGTTCATAATTTCTGTGGTGTTAGACTTTGATCATTTAAAAATATCTGTACCACAACTTAATGCTTCAATAAAAGTTTGCTTAAATTGTTTGTAGTGATGATCCAGCAGTTCTGCCCCATGTGCTCGCATGCTTTTTGATACCAGTTGGCTTAATTTTGAAATAGATTTATGTATTCCTTATGTAAGGAATTCTTATGAATTACTTGACTAAGTTCACTTTGCCTCTGTAGGGGGGATGCCTTTCAGTTGTTTTTTCAGTTTAAGCTACCAGTTTAAAATGAGGTAGCATATCCAGGGTAGCCAAATGAAAGTGTTAAGCTGTTCTTGAGGCTAAAAATGCCTACATGAATACAAAAATTTGAGATTTGTCATAATCAAATCTGTATTTTTTTTTTCCCTTGGCATTAAATATTTAAAATATTCCTCCGATTTAAGCCAACTCTTGCTTCTGCTGGTTTTATGTAACAGACCTTGGCGTGTATTTACTGTACTTAAGCTTGGACTTTCTTTGAGAGTTCAAAATGAAACTTGCCTCGTAAGATGCAGTAGGCGCATACTAATCTGGATAACAAACTAGATGGGGAAACCAGTGGTTGCCAGTCTTACTGCTAAGCAGAGGCAACAAGCATCAGTGGAACTTCCAGATTTCGTGTGAGCAGTTCTGTAGGAGTAGCAGCTTCACTTTCACCTTACAGAGATCTAGCAATGCTGATACCCATAACAGTTGCCTCAGTAGAGAATACCTGTGCAAGCAGTGATGCCCTCAGAACCTTTGAATTGTTCACATCTGAATATAGTATTCATATGTCACCCAGAACCATGTCATGTCATGCCAGATTTCTCTAATTGTCCTTTGAATATGGAATAGTAACTTCAAGATATTCTTGAGTGCTCAACACTGTTTAAAATGCATAACTAAGCCTCTTGAATTAAAAGAGAATCCAGGTTACAGCATTAAGAGATTGTCTAATTTAGAGTAGTCAGCTGTGACAAATTAGCAGTAACTCAGCTCTGAAGAACAGCTTTCCAGACTGACCTTTACAAAACTAAATATCCACCTTAAGCAATTGATGTTTCTCTATTTTAGCTCATTTTACCTCAGGTTTCTAGGTTTCCCACAAAAACCGTACCAGTCCCTGCTACTGCTCATTGAGCAGCTATTGCCCAAAGAGGTTATGGATGCCTCATCCCTGGAGGTGTTTGAGGCCAGGTTGGATGGGGACTGGGGCAGCCTGGTCTAGGATTAGATGTGGGGGATGGCAACTCTGCCTGCTGCAGGGGGTTGGAGTTTGATGATCCTTGAGGTCCTTTCCAACCCAAACCATTCTGTGATTCTGCGTGGATGTTGAGACATTAACTGCAACTCTTCAGATGTGACCATCCAGCCAACTTCTTATAAAGCAAACAGTCTACTTATCAAATCCATGTCTCCCTAAATTAGAGACAAGGATCAAAAGCTGTATGCAAGTCAAAGTAGATGGCAGTGTGTTGCTCTTCTCTTGTCCTCTATCATACTATCATAGAAGGTCATCAAGTTAGGCAGGTGTGATTTGCCCTTTGTGAAACAATGTTGGCTGGCACCAGTCACTTCCCTGCCTTAACATAGTTTCCAGTTTCTGCTCTATGATCGTACCAGGCACAGAGGTGAGTCATACCAACCAGTTTCTAGTTCCCCTGGTTTTCCATTTTTCCTTTTCCAAAAATGGAGGTTGTTTTCCCTTTTCCAGCTTATGGACTCCACCAGACTATCAGAATGCTTCAAGTATGATGAATAACAGCAGCTGGCAGAGCCAGTTCCCTCAGGACTATGGGATGCATCTCCTGAGGTCCTATGGACTTGTGCATGTTTAGGTTCCATAGGCAGAAATGCTTATTCGAACAGGTATTAAAAGCCACTCAGTTTTATTCTAAGGCCTCTACCTTTATGCCCTTGCTGAAGATTGACTTTTCTCTAGTACTTAAATACAAATGCAGAATGGCTCTAGGACTGGATACTGGCTGTCAGTCTAACTTCTTTATGGTGCAGGATTACCTACTGGCAAATGCTAAAGGGGTTACCTCTTCTGAGGCCTCCTAACTGGGATGGTACAAAACCAGCTTGCCCTGTGATGGTCCTAAAAGCAATGCCACCAGTGTTTAAAGGCACAAGGTTTGGAAACCATGCTGAGATCTTCTGCACAACTAAAGTGTTCTCCCAGGCTGTACAGCCAAGAACTTAGAGGTGGAAAAAAATTGCTTCCAAATCCATTATACATAATCTAAAGCCTGCTGAAGTGTTAAAGCAAAGCCTGCAGCCAAAGCCTAGAAAGAACAGGACAGTTTAGCAACAGCATAAGTTTCCGAGCAACAGCAGCAATGACAATTCAGTAGAAAAGTTAATGAACAATAGATGACCTGCTCTGACTCGGCTATGGGAAGCTAAGCAAACAGGATTCATGTTTAAGGAATGCCAAGAATTTACCTGCCTCTTAAGTACATCCAAGTGGGGAAAAAAGTACTCTAAAGCCCTTGGGAGACAAAACTGTCATTAGAAAGCTACTGAGACAGGCGTTTCCTAGAAATAATTTCAATTTGACTTTCAATTATGAGTTGAAGATTACTCTTGCACTTTTTCATCCAGAATTTCATACTGTGGAGTCTGAAGAGTGTTTTGCATATTATAGTTCAGGAGGGCCTCTGCTGTTGGGAGGAGACTGGATTTGTGTAAAAATTCCTTTCAATATTTGCTGTTAGTACACTTTATTCCCACAAAGAAGTACTGCTAGGAGCAGTAAGGTTTAACCAACTTGTGAGTTACCAGTTAATTTTTCTATTATTTCTTGCCACACGCTGTACTTAGTACCAGAGCTGCTGTTACATTAAAAAAAAGTCTCTAGAGAATTTGTTTCTGCAGCTGCCTGACAGCTGTATTTTGATAGGGAATTATCTGCAACATGAAAAATGTTTCCTCTAAACCATAAATTTATGAAATCTATAACATTGCTGTTATTTTTTCCACGTACCTTTTCCAAGATCATGTTGATTTGCTCAGTCTATTGCTCTAAATTTGCCTTAAATATTTTAAATGTCAATACAGTATGCTGGGCACCTGTCCATCTGCTTTTTCAGTCTGGAATCAAGGTGCCAATGCGTGGTTGCTGATGCTCTGTCCAAATCCAGGAAAAAAAATCTGGTTACCCCAAGAGGAGTCAGATTGGATCCTTGGCCAGTGACTTTCCAGGCACTCTAAGCAGGGAGGAATATGTTCTGTGACTGACACCTGTTCATTTAGCAACTTGTAGGCTTTCTTGAAGGAAAAAAAAAATATATATTAAACACCTTCAAAAAAGAGCTCAGGCTACAATAGTCTGAGCTGGGTGCATTCCAGCTTAAAGACACATAGTGCTGTTTGTTTTTTTCCTTCGCTCCTCTTCTGCTATCCACTCAACGTTGTGTCCCTTGCTTTTAAAGAGTAGCAAAAGCTTAACTGCAGTAAACAGGAGTCCAGGCACAAATAGCAGATTATCTGCAGTATGTAACGTAACATTGGCTGACTTGGAATGTTTAATTTTTCATTTCACTAGATGCATATCCTCTCTTAAAGAAAAAAAACATTGTTTTATACCATGCAAAGTATTTG